AATTAGCCAGGCATGGTGGCAGGTGCCGGTAGTTCCAGCTACTCAGGAGGCTGTTACAGTAGAATTGCTTGAACCTGGGAGGCGGGGGTTGCTGTGAGCTGAGATGACACCACTGCACTCCAGCCTGGGCAACAGAGTGAAACTCTGTTTCAAAAAAAATTAGATAATATCCAAAATATTATCCTTGCAACATACAATCAACATAAATATGGCATTGAGATATTTTACATCCTTATTTTTATTCTTTGAAGTTCAGTGGATATTTACACTTACAACATGTCTCAACTTAGATTGGCCACATTTCAAAAGCTTGTCAACTGCAGGTATTATTGTAAATAGCGTTTTATTTAGAATGCTTTTTACCTACCCTCAAGGAAATTATAGTAGATTGGGAGAATCAGAGAACAAAAATATAACCAAGATACTTGGAAATTTGACGAATGTTACATTTCAGATGATATTTGAGCTGATGCTTGAAGGATGAGAAGGAACCCATTATGATTATCTGGGGAAAAGGGTACTCAAGACAGAGGAAACAACTATTGCAAATGATGATAAGTGCAAAAATGCTTGACGTGTTGGAAGAATACACAGTGGTAGGCAGACTCTAAGATGGCCTCCGGTGATTCCTGCCTCTGGATATTCATGTTCTTGTATAATCCCTTGGTAAGATCTATGACCCAAAGAATATGAGAAAGGCAATGGGATCTCGCTTAAGTGATTTGGTTACATACGATTGTAACTTCCTTCTTTCTAGGAGAACATCTTGCAGAAGTCCACGTGGCAAGGAACTGACTGAAGCCTTTGGGTAACAGCTAGGAAATGAGGCCCTAAGTCTAATAGCCCTCATAGAGCTGAATTACAGCAATGACATCTGCTTGGGACCAAATTCTTCCCTATTTGAACCGTCAAATGAGAGATACTCTACATGTGGCCGGTATCTTGATTATAGCCTTTTGAGAGACCCTGAAGCAGAGGATCCAGTTAAGCCATGCTCTGAACTTCTGACCCACAGAAACTGTGAGATAATAAATGTGTATTTTAAGTCCCCAAATTTGTAGGAAATTGTTATGCAACAATAGATAAGCAACATTTGATAAATATGCTCACTATGTTTTATTTCAAGTCATTGATGGAAGTGTTTTACAGAACCGTGCCAAGCAGAATGCTGGTTCATCTCAATAGAAGTCATTAAGTTAATACTGATCAATTACTTAGCATTCCCTTAGGTTTGTTTGTGCAGCAAATTACCTTAATTATGCTTCCACTTGGTCTTTATAGTTTTCCTTTTTTTTTTTTTTAAGAGACAGGGTCTCATTATGTGTTCTGATCATAGCTCTGTAACCTCAAACTCAAGTTATCCTCCCTCCTCAGCCTCACGTGTTGCTAGGACTACAGGCATGTGCCACCATACGTGGGTAATTTTTTACTTTTCTTTTTGGAGAGACAGGATCTGGCGGTCTTGCCTAGGCTAGAGTGCCGTGGTGTGATGGTAACTCACTGAAGCCTCGGACTCCTGGGCTCAAGTGATCCTCCCACCTCAGTCTCCTGAGTAGCTGTGATTACAGGCATGGTTTATCGCATTCAGCCTATATTTTCTTTTTTTTTTTTTGAAATAGAGTCTTGCTCTATCTCTAGGCTGGAGTGCAGTGGTACAATCTTGACTCACTGCAACCTCCGCCTCCCATGTTCAAGTGATTCTCCTGCCTCAGCCTCTCGAGTATCTGGGACGACAGGCATGTGCCACCATGTCCGACTAATATTTGTATTTTTAGTAGAGGCGAGGTTTCACCATGTTGGCCAGGCTGATCTTGAACTCCTGACCTCAGATGATCCACCTTCCTCAGCCTCCCAAAGTGCTGGGATTACAGGTGTGAGCCACCGTACCAGGCCTATTTTCTAATTTTTATAGCATGAAATTTCTCACCAAATGCTTTGTCAGAATTTCAGATATATGTTTAGTAATTCTATCTAAAAAGAGAATGGGTTAGTCTGGCTTTTTGTTGTTGTTGTTGTTATTTTTTTGAGACAGGTTATTACTCTTTTGTCCAGGCTGGAGTGCAGGGATACAGTCATGGTTCACTGCAGCCTCAAACTCCTGGGCTCAAGCAGTTCTCCCATCTCAGCCTCCATAGTTGCTGGGACTATAGGCATGCACCACCATGCCTAACTAATTTTTGTATTTTTTGTAGAGATGGGGATTTGTTATGTTGTCTGGGCTGGTCTTGACCTCTAGGGCTCAAGTAATCCTGCCTTGGCCTCCCAAAATGTTGAGATTCCAGGTGTGAGGCGCTGTACCCAGCCTTTTTTTGTTGTTGTTGTTAAGTAAACCCATGTTGACTTAGCAGTTACTTTTTGTTCTAATTGTTTGCAAACACATCTTTTAGACAATTCATTCTAGAATCTTATTTGGGATCAGTACTACAATCCTTGATGTATGGTTTCATTTGCAGATTTCACCATCTTTTCACCTTTATTTTAGTTATCACCAGGTTTCTAGCAAGTTTCTTTCTCATTTTTACATGATTCTCAGATTTCTCTCAAATGGTTTATTGGGTTAACTGGCAAGTTTTATCAAAACTCTGGAGTGTAATTTGTTCAGGCCAGAAGTGGTGGATTTATTTAGAGGAGTGGTGGATTTATTTAGAGTAGTCAGGTGCTCTCTTACAATCTTCAGTTCCCTCTTAAAATGTTTGTTTTATACTTTATATTCTGAATATTATCCTTTTTAGTGGGAAAGACAGAAACATATCCATTAATCATTACACCATGAATTCTAGTACTGGGCATTTCCTGCCTTGCTTTTGTCCCAAACTTCATTTTATTGGCAACAATTTTACTAAGATACAATTCAGAAGCACTTTGTAATTGGTAGCTGTTGCCACTAGAAATCTTTTTTTTTTTTTGAGATGGAGTTTTGCTCTTGTTGCCTAGGTTGGAGTACAATGGCACGATCTTGGCTCATTGCAACCTTTGCCTCCTGGGTTCAAGCAATTCTCCTGCCGCAGCTTCCTGAATAGCTGGGATTACAGGCACCCACCACCACGCCCAGCTAATTTTTTGTATTTAGTAGAGATGGGGTTTCACCATGTTAGTCAGGCTGGCCTTGAACTCCTGACCTCAGGTAATCCATCTGCTTCGGTTCCCAAAGTGCTGGGATTACAGGCATGCGCCATGGTGCCTGGCCTAGAAATCTTTACATGCAATTTTTAGAAAACTTGTTGGTTAAATAAAAACGTTTTACGGCCGGGCGCGGTGGCTCAAGCCTGTAATCCCAGCACTTTGGGAGGCCGAGACGGGTGGATCACGAGGTTAAGAGATCGAGACCATTCTGGTCAACATGGTGAAACCCCGTCTCTACTAAAAATACAAAAAATTAGCTGGGCATGGTGGCGCGTGCCTGTAATCCCAGCTACTCGGGAGGCTGAGGCAGGAGAATTGCCTGAACCCAGGAGGCGGAGGTTGCAGTGAGCCGAGATTGTGCCATTGCACTCCAGCCTGGGTAACAAGAGTGAAACTCCGTCTCAAAAAAAAAAAAATGTTTTACAAAGATGAATGTCTTTCTTGATTTGCTCATGGTAGAAATTTTATGAACATGTGTTAGCTTCAATTGATAGTAATATATAGTAGCCCAATAAGTTAAGATCTGGTCTAGGTTTGAACTAGCTAAGGAGCTTTTTTTTTTTTTTAAAAACATGGGTTTTCACTCTGTCACCCAGGCTGGAATGCGAGTGCAGTGGTGCAAACACAGCTCACTGCAGCCTGGACTTCTCAGCCTCAAGAGATCCTCCTGCCTCAGCCTGTGGAGTAGTTGGGACCATAGGCATGCAAGGAGGTTTTTGCTAAAAAGAGGTAAAGGAAAACTGAATATAAATATCACCTACTTCATCGTTTGAGCTTGGGTTAGCCTTTATAGAAAAGGAAGATGGCAAGATTATGTTTCCAAAGATACTTCAAAGGGGTGAAGTGCTGAATATACAGTAAGCAGGGGATTAATTTCAATAGAAAAACTGCAAAGTAAATCCCCAAATGTTGGTACATACATTTTAGAAGAGAACACCAAAGAGAAAAGTTATTCATCATTGAATATCCTATCAAGAGCAGCAGACTAATTTGGCATGGCTGTTTTCTGAACAACTTGAGATTTGTTCTTGACTAAAACAATAGTCCTTTGTCTAAAAGTATTTTCTTATCACTTGGTGAAACTGTCAGTAGTCTCCTCATCTTTATTAGGTAAGATGTATGAGCAGAGGCCTTAAAACATTTCTCAAGACCTTATGCTGGGGATTTCTGATCCAGAAATTTCCTGGTATTTTTATTTATTTGTTTACCTAACAATTTAAGTGAAGTGATTAAAACTTAACGTCTATTTAATAATGTCTGGACTTCGACTACAGACTATACTCTTTTTGTTTGTTTGGTTTGGTTTGGTTTCCATTTTTATTTTTATTTGTTTATTTTGAGATGGAGTCTCACTCTGTTGTCCAGGCTGGAGTACAGTGTTGTAATCTCGCGTCACTGCAACTTCCACCTCCTACGTTCAAGCGATTCTCATGCCTCAGCCTCCCAACTAGCTGGGATTACAGGTGCACGCCACCCACCTGGCTAATATTTGTATTTTTAGTAGAGATGAAGTTTCACCATGTTGGCCAGTCTGGTCTCAAACTCCTGACCTCAAGTGATCCGCCCGCCTTGGCCTCCCAAAGTGCTGGGATTACAGGCATAGGCCAGCACACCCAGCCATGTTTTATTTTGTGTTAGAGATAGTGCTTCGATATGCTGTCCAGATTGGAGTGCAATGACTATTCACAGAACAGTCATAGCACACTGCAGACCCTTCAGCCTCCACCTCCCAAGTAGCTGAGACCACAGGTGCATGACATTATACTCGGCTGTAGTTTGTTTTGTTTTGTTTTGGACTGTAATTTTAACCTGATATGAATAAATTAGTCATATATTTAAATTAGCCATGCAAGTGATTGAACTTGTTATCAATAAGGATTTATAGACTATATGAAAGTATGGCTAGATTAAAGATAAATGATTACATAAATGAATGGTTTTCATTCTGCTCTCCCTTTTCCTCCAGTCTTTGTCCAAATTTCATCAGTTCTTCCAAATCCTCTTTGAATGCAACTCTGTATAGGTATATTCTTGCTGTGTGCAGATCATTTGAGTTTTTGGTATTATATATATTAATTGAGTGAATATGCAATCTCTCTTTTCTATCACAGGCTTCTGTCTCTAAACAAGGGCACATTTTAGGGAGACCTCTTTTCTATCCCTTTTATTTCTCCCCCCACCCCTTTTTGTGGTTCCATTTCTCTATTGCAGCTTTATTTATCTTTTTACTATGACTCATTCTTTTTTTCTCAATCCTGCCCCTTCTGTATTTGTCTGCTTTTTATTACTCCTGCCTCTTTTAATTCTTAATACCACTTAAAACTTGTTTCCCCGTCACCTGGTCTTTCTGTTTTTCTTCTTTCTGCTTGACTTTCTCCTCTGTTTGTCACCACCCTTCTCCTTGCCCTCAAGGTACAGAGCAGGATTAGGTCTAGGAGGAGCCCAGCTGGGGCAGGGGTGGAGCCACCTGTTCACTGCTCCAGGATTCAGAACCTGACTGGGAAGGATCGGCTGCTCAAGGGTAGCTGGGACTGAAATCCCTATGGCCTTTCTGCTAGAGGCTAGCATTCTGGAGGACAGTTGGGACTTGGTAAGGTCAGAAAACTCTCTCTCTCTTCCTTTGTGTTCTCCCTTTCTTCTTCCGTGTTCTGCATTTTTCACTCATGATCTCTCCATGCTACTAATTTTTCTTCCGTTTGTCTGTTTTACAATTCTATCTTTCCTCTTTCTACCTATCAGTGAACTCTAGGGTTTGTCTTTTCTGTAACCTATTATTTCCACACATCTCTGTATTCTCTCTCAACATTTAACTTTTCCTACCTCTTCTCCATTTTATTCTTTTATTAGTTTTCTCACCCAGTTTTTTTCTTAAACTCCTGGCCTCAGGTCATCTTCTTACCTCAGCCTTCCTAAGTGTTGGGATTACAGGCATGAGCCACAGTGCCTGGCTAGGTTCCTTTTTCATTTAGTCATTTTCAATCCACTGCTCCATTAAAAAAAAAATACTATTTCCCAGAGAATTAGAAATAAGAGAGGAAAAAAAGGATCACCCTGTCTTTCCAGGGGCCTGTTCAGCCTTTTCACTCATTTTCAGGCTTGTAGTATGTTTTGAGATTAGATTTTGAAGAAAAATTTATGCTGTACAGATAGTAAACAGTGAACTTAGAGTTAGATTGAATATTCAGTGTAAAAGGTTTAATTTTATTCTCTTTTCCTTGTTTTACTTAGATTTTTCCTGCAATACAGTGGATACAATTTGTCATGGCTACTCTGAGGTATGTTTATTTAATTGCATATAACTAAACCAGTATAAACAAAATTCAGCAATTCTGTTGTTTTCCACATTTTTCCCTCAGGGATTGCTTTTACTCTTTAGTCAAAGAGAAATGATATTCTTTATCATGTTGATATTTTCTTACTAATAAAAAGACAACATTAACAATAGCAACAAAAAAATTGATTAAAGGATAACATCTGAAAATCTGTGGACAACCGGATTAACAGGATCATTTGCAAAAATCAATAGCAGAGTGCTTACTTAAGCAGCACCTATTCTAAAAATCAAAATGTTGTAGAGAATATCGATAGGGCTGAGCTCACACCTGTAATCCTAACACTTTGGGAGGCTGAGGTGGGCGGATCACTTGAGCTCAGGAATTAGAGACCATCCTGGACAACATGGTGAAACCCTGTCCGTCCAAAAAAAAAAAAAACATAAAAAGTAGCTGGACGTGGTGGCATGTTCCTGTAGTTCCAGTTACCCAGGAGGAACCATAATTGTGCCACTGCACTCCAGCCTGGTTGACAGAGTAAGAGCATGTCTCAAAAAAAAAAAAAAAAAGATTGGCTTGGCCTTGCATAAGGAGAAAAATGCAGATTTGTGAAGCATTCTATATTTGTTTAAAAATATTGGCTGGATGTGGTGGCCCATGCCTGTAATCCCAGCACTTTGGGAGGCTGAGGCAAGAGGATGGCCTGAGCCCAGGAGTTTGAGACCAGCCTGGGCAACATAGTGAGACCCTGTCTCTACAAAAAAATTTAAAAAATTAGCTGGGCATGATAGCACATGCCTGTAGTTCCAGCTACTCAGGAGGCTTAGGCAGGAGGATCACTTTAGCCCAGGAGTTGGAGGCTGCAGTAAGCTGTGACTGTACCACTGCACTCTAGCCTGGAGTGACAGAAGGAGACCCTATCTCTAAATAATATAATTAAAAATAAAAAAATTAAAAAAAATATGTACAGGGCCAGGCATGGTGGCCCACACTTGTAATCTCAGTGCTTGAGAGGCCAAGGTGAGAGGATCACATGAGGCCAGGGTTTGAGACCAGCCTGGGCAACATAGCAAGACCTTGCCTCTACAAAAAATAATTAGCTAGGTGTGGTGATGTACACCTGTAGTCCTAACTACTCAGGAGGCTGAGACAGGAGGATCACTGGGGCTCAGTAGTTCGAGCTTACATTGAACTATAATGGCACCACTGCACTCCAGCCTGGCTGACATAGCAGGACCCTGAGTATAAAAAAAATTTTAATGCAATTCATTTTTTATCAATTATGCCAATAAAACTGTAAAAATAACAAAATAACAAAAGTGATGGCACTTCATTGTCCTGCTTTAATGATCAGTCATCTTCTAAATCTCTCAGTGTTATAGGTTCAAGTTCACTTATTGCCTATGCGGTATTCCAGAATGTACAGAAATCTCCAGAGGTGAGTAATCTCTCTTTGTGTTGGATTTTAACTTTTTAGTGACTTAGTCTCTGAAATAAATAACAGATATTGCCTGTAAATGGTGAAATAATTCTATGAATTACTTTTAAATTTTTCATGATGATACTTTGAGATATTTTAGGCATGGTCAATAGGGCAGGGATTTTTAAAAGTCCATACTTTTAACTGTAATTGCTCTCCAAATTAAATAAAATTTTAAATATTTATTGTATTCTAGATACATTTGCTCAGTGCTTTCAATGTGTTTTTCATTTAATCCTTAAAAAACTTTGAGGTGGATATTATTAGTCTGATTATAGGTAAGGAAATTGAATCCTGGTAAGGTTGAGGGACTATCCTAGGTTCTTAAAGCTAGTAAATGTTAGAGCTGGAATTTGGATGCAGACTTGTCTTGTTCCAGAATCATCCCTATGCACTTTTAAACCACCAAAATATACTGTCGAATGATAATGGATTTTGAAGTTTTAGAGGTAGATTGTGACTATGTAAGTCAAACTAGAAAGTAGACGTCTTGATGCTGTATTGTCATTGCCTGCCAAATTAATTTTAAGTCAAACATCTTGAGATTCAGATTTTCCTAATGTTTATTTCCTTTGCTGGAATTTGAGTTCTGATGTGATTAAGTTAATCGAGTATGAGTTACACAATAGAGCTAAGCTTTATCTCTGAAAGCAGGGTTTCTCAGCCTCAGCATTATTGTGATGTGGGGCTAGATAATTATTTGCTGTCCTGTACATTAGGAAGTTTGGCAGCCTTTACCAGCTAGATACTAGTAGCAAAACCTCCTTTCTTCAGTTGTGACAACCAAAAATTTCTTCAAACAATTTAAAGTGGTCCAGGTGTAGTGGCAGGTGCCTATAATTCTAGCTACCCAGGAGGCTGAGGTGGGAGGATTGCTTTAGCACAGGAGTTCAAGGTTGCAGTGAGCTATGATCATATCACTGCACTCCAGCCTGGGTGACAGAGCAAGACCTTATCTCTTAAAAAAAAATGCTGAATGTCCCTGTGAGGATGGGATCAGGATGAAATTGTTCTTGTTTGAAAACTAATGTCCAAGGTGCCGTTCTGGCATAACGGTGGGTTGGAACTTTATAAAGATATAAGGTGTAAGGTCTAATTTGGCTTAGAACATAACTTTAAAAAAAAAAATCATTAAAACAAAATAGAGATTCTCTTGGGTAGGGAGAGCTCTTGGTTTATTCTGCCCATGGTTTAAATTAAAGACAAATGCAGGCTGGGCGTGGTGGCTCATGCCTGTAATCCCAGCACTTTGGGAGGCCGAGGTGAGTGGATTGCCCGAGCTCAGGAGTTCGAGACCAGTCTGGTCAACATGGTGAAACCCCGTCTCTAAAAAAAAAAAAAATTAAAAAATAAAAATAAAAAAGACAAATGCAGAGGAAAGAGCCAGCAATGGTAGCGCCAAGTCCATTGTGGCAGCAGAGGGGAATCAGTTGGACCTCAGGGGAGCTTTAATGGTCATGGCCTTTACTCTGTATTCACTGCTAGAGGCAGCCCTGCTCTTCGTCAGCGCTATTGCCATGCTGCACAAAGAGAGATTCCTCAAGAACATTGGCTGGAGAACAGACCAGGGAATTGGTATATTTGGGGAGGAGCCAGGAATTAAATCTCGGCTAATGAACTGTATTTGATCTGTAACAACTGTGATGAGAATGCCATTAATAATGGTAAACTCAATTGTAGTTGTGTTACTTTTATTATTTGGATGAATATCAGTGAAGGAATGGAGACTCAGAAGAGATGCCAGCAGAAGTTATTATTTAGGTCATTATTGGAGAAAAGGCCGAGGTGGGAGGATCACTTGAGCCTGGGAGGTCGAAACTGCAGTAAGCTGAGACTGGGCTCCTGCACTCCAGCCTGGGTGACAAAGTGAGACCCTATCTCAAAAAGAAAAAAAAATAAAAATAAATCAGATCATGAGAGGCAGTAACTCTCCAGGACTGCAATATTTGCTCACTGTTGATAGTGATTCATGCATTGTGAGATTGTTAAAAGAGTACATAGGCTGGGCGCGGTGGCTCACACCTGTAATCCCAGCACTTTGGGAGGCCGAGGTGGGTGGATCACAAGGTCAAGAGATCGAGACCATCCTGGTCAACATGGTGAAACCCCGTCTCTACTAAAAATACAAAAAATTAGCTGGGCATGGTGGCGCGTGCCTGTAATCCCAGCTACTCAGGAGGCTGAGGTGGGAGAATTGCTTAAACCCAGGAGGCAGAGGTTGTGGTGAACCAAGATCGCACCATTGCACGCCAGCCTGGGTAACAAGAGCGAAACTCCATCTCAAAAAAAAAAAAAAAAGTACATAAGACTGTTGTTTCTTTTTTTAAAGATATTTTTCTATCTCTCATTTCTCAGGGATGAATTTTTTTTCAGTTTTGAAGTTACTTGGGACTTCGCCATGATATGAGTGCTCATTCCTAGATAAAATTTAAAGGATTTTTAAAAAGTAATTACTACACATAAAATGATAAATTGGTAATTTTATTTTGACCTCCTTGGTTAATTATTTTATCTGTATATTGTTTCAGTTATGAAGAATTCAAATTTATAGACACGATTGAGGAGTAATACTCTGATATCAAGGAGAATTCTGTTAGTCACATGATGATTGTTTTTGTTTTACATTTTTTTCATGCATTTATTATTTTACTAATTGGCCTAAATAATGAGACCAGATCAATATCTACATATTTTCATTGTTAGAAAAATCTACAAAAGTCTACCCTTTTTATAAGAAGGATGTAAAATAAAGCAGCAAGAGGATTGTTTAGCAGTGCAAGAGCACAATTAAACTGTACTATACAAGAAGACTGTTGTGAAGCATTTACCTCCCACAAAATCATTACAGTTCCATTTTTTGGTGAAGTGGCACACTGTCGGTTGTGATTCTTAATTCTTCCTTGTGTTTGTCAATAGGATATTCATGCTAGATAGGTTGTCTTTTATTTATTTTTTTATGTCTCAAATCATCTTGTGGGGTTGTTTGCTCATCTCATAATAGAGTTTTAGGCAGAAAGGTTGAAACAATGTAAATTTTTTGTGGAAATTATCAGTTACAATATTTTTAAAGAGCTGGAATGGACTTTTTGTAAATAGGAGAACATTTGTAAATAAGGTTGAATTTCTAAGTCAAAAAAAGGACAAATACTAATGTATATATATGTGAGGTTTTTTTTAAAGAGGTTTTGCTTTCATGTTTAGGACCATATCTTATGCTTTTTTGGGTTTTCTTTATTACCAGGCACTATGCTGGTTGTATTTTTCTTAAGAGCATGAGCTGTGTTATACATTTCCTTGTGTTTCCTTCAAAATAATATCTTTTTATCCATAGGAGGGATGGGATCTTTCTTGATTTCAATACTAGGTTCTGAGTTAATTTTTGTTGTTTAATTGATTGAACTTTATCTCCTGTCATTAGAATTGAATGCAAGCAAACCTCACCTCTTCTTATCCTCCTTTGCCCTGCCAAAGACTTTTGGTATGTTTTAACATCTCCGTATACATAGGGTTCGTTCATTCTTTCTTTCTTCCTTCTTTTTTTTTCTTTCTTTCTTTCTCTCTCTCTTTCTCTTTCCTTTTCTCTCTCTCTCTCTTTCTTTTTTTTTTACAGAGTCTCACTTTGTCATTCAGGCTGGAGTGCAGTGGTGTGATCTTGGCTCACTGCAACCTCCACCTCCCAGGTTCAAGTGATTCTCCTGCCTCAGACTTCTGAGTAACTGCAACTACAGGTGTGTACCACTATGCCTGGCTAATTTTTTTGTATTTTTATTAGAGACAGGATTTGACCTTGTTGATCAGGCTGGTCTCAAACTCCTGACCTCAGGTGATCCACCTGCCTCGGCCTCCCAAAGTGCTGGGGATTACAGATGTGAACCACTATGCTTGGCCTCATAGGGTTGTTTCTTGAATTAATGATCAGAATTACGTTCTTGCTCATAAAAGCTGCATGGTTACTTTTCTTCTCCAGGGATTATTTTTGTGAAAGTTGATTATACATATTGAATAATTCTTGTCATACCCAACTAAATGAGAGTTGAGAAGCCAGGGGGAACAAGCTCTCGGTGTACATACCACATGCTCCAATAATTAACATTTTCACAAGCACAGCTACTGAAATGACCCAATGTAACCCTGAGACCCGTTTGACCTTGTAGTTGCTGAAATGACTTGCCATGACTCTTAGGACTAGTTTTACATACCATGGTCACTCACTAATCACAGTTTGCCAACTCCCAAAACTTTCTCTAGTGCCAGTGAGCTTGCTTTCAAAACAACATATACTTTTTCTCTTTTTAATACAACTCCCAGTCATCTCTTCATTCTTCATACATGTCCAAGACGACCCAGTCTGTGTGTATGCCCTGAAATGCAATTCTTGCTTCCCAAATAAAACATTTTAAATTTAGAGATTCATCTCTATGTATCTCTTGACTTCAATATTTTGTATTTAGTCTTAGTTTTTTTAAAATCTGTTAACCGTTATCAACTTGTGATAGGTCATAAGCCAGTAGAATCTATGACTGTCATCCAGCTGGAATTTTAGCAAGCTTATTCAGGGAAAAGGCCATATGTGGTTAACATAATAGCTGATATTTATGAAATACTTTACACTTTTGAATGTTTTTATTATATATTATTTCATTTGTTTATGCTTCTGTTAGCCAAGGCAACTTGACCATCTAACACTATTAGCAAGATATTAATTAGCATCTTACTTCTTTTTCTGGTTTGGGAGAAATATGTGAGAAAAATTCTCAGAAAAGAAAAAAAAAAGAGAAAAATTCTCCTTTACAAGTGGGCTTAGGAGAAGGATATGAGAAAAATTCTCTTTTGTACATGTGGGGAGATTAGTTCTCATATCAGGTAATACCTGACTAGGACTTAAATTTTTTTTTTCTAGTACAGGGTTTTGCTATGTCACTGAGGCCATAGTACAGGATCATAGCTTACTGTAGCCT